GGGCTACACAGAGAAACCCTGAATCAAAAAAAAAAGAAAAAGAAAGAAAAAATCTGGTTGGACCTACCTTTTCTGGGACTGTGTCCATGACTAGATCTCCATACATGTTCATCACCTGGGGCAAAGAGGAAAGCAAGTTGCCCTGGAGGGTGTGCCATGGGTACAGGGTTCCCCTATGCTAAAGGCTTCACTCTCCAAAGGCCTTTTCAAGCCCTGTTGTCTCCTTCCTCTTACCTGGTCATTGAGCCAGTTCTGTCCATATAAGGTCCCCAAATCATCCATGGTGAGCACATGTCGTTTATAGGACACCCGGAAGCCCCTTACCATGGCATTGCCTGGCATGCGCTGGTAGGACTGGATCAGCTGCAGCACCAGGCTCTTCCTGAATAGGCCAAAGGGTTGCAGTCACGAAAGAGATGGGCAGGGCAGACAAAAGCACCCACTACTGTCTAGATTAAGACACTAAAACAACTTTTCTTTTTCACAAGTCCTTTTGAGAGTCTCCCACTCCCCAGAAAGAGGCACAGGACAGATCAGTGTCCTTTTCAGCGTCTCACAATATCCTAAAGATCCAATAGTCTGACAGGGCTAGGGACTTTGTCTGCAGCTCGCTCTCCTGCAGCTGTAGCTTTTATAACTCCACATATATCCCTAAAGGAAGAAAACATTCTCTACCCCTCCTTAAGTCCTAGCCCTCATTCAAAGGGTACCTGCCTTCAAACCTCACCTGGAGGGTGTAGAGAACTCCTGTTGGAAAATGTCCTCCAATTTCTCTACAACTTCATCAGTACTGAGGGGGATGAGGCTACCGTAAGTTTGAAGGAATTCATCTAAGATACCTAAATAGAGGTAGGAGAGAAGAGAAGGTGAGGCCTTTAGACTCTGATCTTGGAGTTGGCCAAAAGGAGACTTAGGTCCTCTAAAGGCTTACTCTGCACGCAGGTCACATGTTCCTCCCGCAGGGGGCTGTGTTGGCCAGCTTTCTCCCCAGTCCGCTCTGCCTCTTCTGAAGTGCCCAAGTCAGAGCTCTGAAAAAGTTCCTGAGCCACATGGTCCCCAATGCTGCACACATTGCTGATGAGTATGCTGGCATCAGGGGGTGCCAGGCTGCGCTCCCCTTCAGGACCAGTCAGTCCCCCAAAACCATTAGGCAGAGTACATGAAAGGAGGCCTGCAAGGATGGAAAAAGGATAGGAATATGAAATTGGCCCAAGTAAAATGGATGCATACAAATAAACCCACACAACATGGACTGAAGCAGAATCTAGCAATATAAACCTTATGGAATGCAGACACCACCACCACCACCATCACTGCCAAAAGCCTAATGTAAGATGTTCAAAGAATTTATAAAAGGACAGAGTGCCGGGCAGTGGTGGCTCACTCCTTTAATCCTAGCACTTGGGCGGCAGAGACCAGACTTGTGTACAGAACTAGTCCAAGACAGGTAGGGCTATACAGAGAAACCCTGTCTCGAGAAAAAAAAAAAGAGTAGGAGGAAATCGGAAGACTAGGATTCTGAGAGACTTCAGAAATATGTGCTACCAATATAAGCTTTAACACCTAACGTAGTACACAGTGTTTAAAGAAGACTCAATAATATTAAAACCGATGATAAATTATTTAGCTGGAGTTCTACAGAAAGGAAATATCCTAAGTAAAAATGTTAAAATCTCAGTTGAGTGGTGGTGGCACACGGCTTTAGTCCCAGCACTCAGGAGGCAGAGGTGGGAACTCTTGTGAGTTCGAGGCCAACCTGAACTATAGAGTGAGTTTCAGGACAGCCAGGGATACACAGCAAAACCCTGTTTTGAAAAACAAATAAACAAAAAAAGTTAAACATTTACAGATGATATATATTCTAATTGTAGAGGTCTCATTCCACAACAACAAAGAGTAAGTAACCTGTGGAGATAGCGTAAGCCTTAACCTGAAAGGAAAGAGGCTTTGCAATGGCCAACACTGATTTCCCTAAATCATAGTCCCCTTTTGTTACCTGTACTGAAGACCATAGGACAGCTACTTAAGGATCTGTTTCCTATCCCTGTGTTTCAGGCATCATTCCTACTCAAATGAGATCCCCCACTCTCACAGCGTAGGAGCTTTCTTTACAGCCCAGGTGATGCCTTGATTCACTGTTCTCCTGTCTTAGCCTTCCAGGTGATAGGACTATAGGCGTGTGCCAGAACCAGGCCTTTCAAAATAATGCTTAGTGAGATGGTTTCACAGCTCAGCACAGCAACTAACTCCTGCTACCCCAGGCTTTTCACCTTTCCCATACCACTTCCCACCTTACCAGAGTCGGGATCCAGAGGAGACTTTGGGGTCCACCTTAGTCCATCTTCCTCCATGGGGGGCCCAGAGGGCACAGGTGGTGACCTTCTCATCCCGTCCTCAGCCATGAGAGCACCTAGCAGACCCAGCCGGGGAGGAGGTGGTCCCCGGGGGGAATCAAAACGACAGCAGGGTGATGGCACCTGTGGCGTTGCACCCCCTTCCTGGGGTGAGAGATGGTTCTTGGTGTGTGTGAGGTTCCGCCGCCGGCCTCGGTGGCGCCCCCAAAGCTTCCAGTGGAATGTCAACGAGGTGCTTTTTGAGTAGAGCAGCATCTGGAAGGCTCTCATGGCTCGGCGCCGGCGCTGTGAGCAGGATTTTCTATGAGAGGGTCGGAGAGGGCGAGAACGCTGGGAGGCCCCTAGCTGGCCCCATCTAGGGGGTAGTCTCCAAGCTGCTACTTCCTCCTCTTCATCTTCCTCCTCCTCCTCCTCCTCTTCCTCTTCTTCACTAGCTGAGGCATCAAAAGAAGGACGAGGGGCAGGGAGGCGTCTAGTTGGCACTGTGGTCCCTGACCCAGGATCCGGCCCAAAACCGCCACCTGACTTGAGCCGGGGCTTAGGGGGCAGAGGCCATCGAAGACGTTCTCGTCTGGGGTTTGAATAAGTGGTGCCGGGTCCCGGAGGCTCAGGCCCCCAAGACCCGGTCCCTTGTATAGTCTCTTTCATCTTCCAGTACCCTGTAAAACAAAAGCTTGAATATCACAATCAGAACATCCTACTCCTTCCTCCAAGATAACTGTTTCTCAGCATTTCCCTTCTGATTTCAGATACAAATAAAGAAAAACGTAAAAGCTCGTAACTTCGGCTCTTCCCAGCTAACCTGTTCCACAAGGAACCCTTCAGACTTTGTCATCATTTCTTCCCTTGCACAGGTAGAAGAGCAATGGAAAATGACAAAGTGGCAGGCCTTAGAGACTTTATTTCTAAACTCCTTGGGTGAAACTCAGTATTTCCAGGCTCAACTTTAATGCCACTATGGGTGTCCTTAGGATAAGTCTTAGGGCTACTTCGCTCAGGAAAATGGATCAGCACGGGAATTCTGATCTGGGTACCTGGGAAGACAACTTTCACCAGGAAAATTCTGTTCTCGAGCGGGAAGTTCCCTTTCCCCCTGGAATGTTTTGGGGGGAGGGGGACACATATGCTTAAGGTGTGGGGAAAGGTGCTGCCAGGGTTATAGCTCAGGAAATAGATAAGAGGGGAAGATTTTAAATAAAACTGGAAGCGGACCGAATCGGTGCTTAGCGACCGAATCAAGGAGATAGGGCAGAACTAAGCCGTAGGAGCCAGACAGACCAGCACCTACCTTCCCAGTCTTATCCCGGGAGACCTGAATGCTTTCCACCCCGGTATAGTTCTGAAACCTAGGGCGGCTCGGCACACACGGGTCTTAAGTTCCTTAAAGGGCCTCTTGGGCCCAGTTAGGTGCGAGCGAGGACCAGGAATGGAAGAGGCCACAGTAGGGCGGGGGGAGGGGAAGGGGCG